ACTATTATATTAAATCAACACATAATATTCAAAAATAACACTTTTAAAATGATAAATTTAATCGTAATTCTTATCTTACAATCTCCGAGTTTCTAGGCGCCATTGCGGCTTTGATTGAAGATATCTTGCAACTACCACTCCAAAAACAATCTTAGCTGTTTTCCATTCTGCAAGGGTCGTTATGCTACAAGTGAAAAAAACAACAACAAAAAACGTAGATTAAAAGTAGACAGATAAAGGTAAAAAGGAGGGTTTCATTCTATTTATTTCATGTCTATTATTTTCCTCGTTTTGCCTACAGAAAATCAAGCTTCCAATTGCGACTCAAAGATTGCTTGTAAGTTATGCATAATGACAATCTGAATAATACAACAACTTTGCTATTCTTGCTTTCTTACCCTTCAAATTAAGTTAAGATTTATATATTCTGAATTAAAAGCCGCTTTTAAAATAGCTATGATCAAAACAATTCCAATTAATACTTCTACTATTGTAAAATCTAATATAGATATTCCTATTTACATCAGTTAAACGATAGGTAAAACTATACAAGAAATTTGTGTTTTTTTGTATAATTGTAGGCAAATGATTTTTAAACAATTCATTAAAATATTATCTTTGGACAATTTCAAGGTTGTAAACGCGCAAGTAGCTTGTCCTACTATTTATGTCTGGACAGTAACGTGTAACATTTGGTTCCAGATTTCCAAGGTTTGGAACGATGTTTGGGAGCATRTACAGAGAGTTAAATTATGGAAATTTAGTGAATAAATGAGTAACACTATAATAAAAAAATACAATGAAATAAAAAAAGAGAACAGAAATCTTACCTCATAAAACTGAACTAAATTTTCAATTCTGGTCACTTCATTCAGGCGATTTTAACGAATGTTTCCTCTGTCTACATAAATCAGCTGTCTTGGCCTATTAGTGGAAGGTGCTGGTTCTAGATCCCCTCCTCTTACCACTACTTTCTGAAGACGTCTGGGAATTTGGACAGGATTGTAATCCCCCTTTTTGGGTGTCATCAGTGGCTACAGCTACAACATCGTCAATATCTGTTCTAAAGGGTGATGTCATGATGGTACCTAATGTATTGTTAACAGAAGAGGCATTTCCTGAGGACGCTGGTGGACTGGTGGTGGTAGCTGATGTAGCAGCAGAAGTGACATTTCCTGCATTTTTCTGTTGTCATCAGAACTTTTTACTGRCACGGCATTACTCCTATATTCAACAAAGAGATAAGAATCTTTTATAGCAGGCAATATTGTGTAAAGGCTTCATTGAGCTAAATGTGTATTATGAATTTGTGATTTAGTTTATAGGTTATTACAAAAATAAAGGTGAAGAAAATATTAGATTTAAATAATAAATGTGGTTCATGCAAGAAGATGGATGGTCTGTCATTTCATGGAGGTAAAATATCTTTGTACAGATAAAAAATACACTCCTGAAAACCGTTTTGATAATTTTTGCAAAAGACAGAAAAAGAAATCGATACACATCAAAAAGGCAGCAAATGTTGCTTTCATTATTGCTCATGGTGATAAGATGGCGGCCAACGTGAGGCGTGTTGTACGTTTGTTATCAACGTTTTGGCTCTAGTTAATGTTTGCCTCCTATTCGAGATGCTTAAGCTTTTACTTTTAAACTTAGTGTATCAATTGGCTAGTTTTTGTATCAAAAACTATGCATTTTTTCCGAGCTTTTCTAACTTTGGTGGAATGGACGGTCTCACCTTGTGTAGCGACTTACCAAGCGGATTGAAAATTACACAGTGGAACTTAAAAAGCATGGCTCCACACTTAGATAACACCAAATTGGATGAAATTAGACTTTTGCTTAAAAATCCAGGCAAGGAAACCCACATTCTTGGTATCACCGAGTCGTGGTTAGATCAAAATTTCAACAACTCCTATGTCAAAATTCCGGGCTACAAATTGGAACGACTGGACCGTGACCAAGTCAACCTGCCTTTTACCAAGCAAGGAGGTGGTGGAATCGCTGTCTATATCTATAATAATATTCCCTATCGAAGAAGAAAAGATCTAGAATCTAACGATATGGAATCAGTTTGGATTCAGTTATGCCCGCCGAAACGTCCAAGTCATTTAATTTTCTTTGCTTACAGAAGTCCTGATTACGACGTTCCTTCATGGTTGAACAACTTTGAATCACAACTAACCAAAGCATATCTCGAAGGCTGCGATATCTCTATTCTTGGTGACTTTAACATCGACCTACTGGTAGACACTCCTCAACGTAAATCTTGGCTAGAACTGACCGAAAACTTTCAACTAAAACAAGTTGTTTGCGAGACCACAAGAATAACTCCAAGTTCTTCAACGTTGATTGATCACATTTTCACCTCAAATCCAACTAAAGTAAGGAGAATAAAAGTACCTAAAATTGGACTCAGTGATCATTTCCCTACATGTATTCTTTTCAAGCAACGCTTTGGGATAAAACACCGTCACACCACCATCAAGTATCGGTCTTACAAGAACTTTGACCAAGTCTCGTTTCTAAATGAGCTCCAACAATGCCCTTGGGGATCAATCTACRACTGCGAAGATGTCAACCAAAGCCTAGATACATGGTATAAGCTATTACAAGAAGTCATCGATAAACATCTGCCACTAACAGCCAAGCGRGTAAAAAGAGTAAAGCAGCCAGAATGGATGAACAAAAGAGACCACTACAAAGCTACTAAGGAATTTAGTCTATACAAAATCGAGCGTAACCGATGTGTATCACTCATTAAACATGCCAAGAAAACCTACTACCAATCTTGTGTGTCAAACTGTAAAGGTGACTCCTCAAAATTATGGAAATATATCAACAAACTATCACCTAGAGATAAAAAATCGTCACCCACCACTTTGAAAGAGAGCAACACTATCCTCACTAGTCCATCTGATGTCTGTGATGCTTTCAACAATTACTTTGGCTCTGTGGTAGACCAGTACTAAGACCAGTACCACTAAGAAACCTGACCTTAACCTATTGAAAGAATTTGTGAGCAGTAAATTACCAATTGAATCAGAATTAATAATACCTCCTATGGACTGTGACTCTGTTCTTAAATTGGACTCACAAATCTACTGGACTCGATGGACTCTCGTCAAAAATACTGAAATTATCTGCCTCTGTTGTTGCAGCTCCCTTAACCGATATCTTTAATAAAAGTATTGCAACCGGATGTTTCCCGAGTCAATGGAAAACTCCAAGAATCGCTCCAATCTACAAGTCTGGATGTCATACAGACAAAAGCAACTACAGACCAATATCAATTCTATGCACAGTCAGTAAGCTTTTGGAGCGCCACGTATACAACAACATTTTCTTTTGTATCATCATACCAACTGCTTTACTCAGCCCAGTCCGGCTTCAGACCCAAGCATTCTTGCGAAACTGCTCTTGTCAAACTTGTGGACTCACTGCTTAACAACATTGAAAGCGGATATCTGAATGGACTAGTTTTTATTGATTTTCGTAAGGCCTTTGATATTATAGACCCTGTCATCCTTCTGCAGAAGCTCAAATGCTACCATTTCAGTGATACGCTAATGGAGTGGATCATCGCATTTTCTACGTAGATTGGCTTGCAAAATACTGCGCTGCACGGATGTCGTTTCGTTGTCTTTTGTTGTTGCTGTTGTTTTTTTTTTTCATGCTAGCCTACATGAGCGATGTTATTGTAAAAGGTACTTAAGCTGTTAAGGTCCCTTTTGCTCTCGAGTCTCTACGCTAGGCACCACTGGTCGCGGGCGTGTTCTTTAGGGCCTTTTTGCTTTGACAACACTCAATGATAGTTATAAATTTGAATAAACTATGTTCTAAATACGAGATTTTGATAATTCAACGTCCAGATCAATGTCTGAAAAGTTTTGAGRTCTTCTTCTCAATGATCTTGAGCCTCTGAGACATAGTAATGCAGATCGCAAAATAGAAAATGAGACTTTTCCTCTTATCCAGCTGATAGTTTTAGCGTAGTCTTCGTTTTTCTAATAATAATAATAATAATACTAATAATAATACTAATAATAACAATATTAATATAAATATAAATAAGTAATATCACATGTGAAAATAATAAACAAATGAGTAAATAAATAAATCATGCAGTGAGGAAAAACTTGCTTTTTTAATATAAAGCTAAGTTGCCGTAAAGCTATAAGTTAAAAGGTGAGTGACTTACTTGAAAAGTGTTTCTGCAGTCGTCCACCTTATTTGTTTAACCTCCGAATTTTAGAACTAACAACAATCAACCTTTTTTGATATATATGTGGATGGCATTCAGAGGTCGCAGCTAGTTTAAATTATCAGACACAACAGAAAAGAAATCATACATGGTTTTACCTTTGGCCATCTTTTTAGTACAAGGGGATTTCTTTGAGCGGACGTCATCATTTTTGGTCCAAAACGAAAACAGCTTCTCTGTGACATTTCTCTGTGCTCATTTAATTGTACCAGGCCTGAGAATGCTACTTTTACTGCTCCTTCAAGTATAGAATCTGGATTAGCTGTTTTGGACTTWCAAAACTGTTTTGGACTTTCATGAACGGAAAGGGTGAGTCTTCATCTATTTTCACATTGTCAGACGTCGATAGCTYCACGTTGTAGCAGTAGTCATCTTTGTGACTTTGGCCATTCTCTTCGTCACTTTCTCGGGTGCTGTTACTTGAGCTGTCTGAACAAAATTTCCTTGTCAAAAAAGTGTATTTTAGATGTCTTTATAAATCTTGTCTTTAGATAGGACCCTTTCATCGCGTGATCAAGGAAAATTGTCTTTGATGTCTTCGCTAAAGCTGTAGTTTTTGCAGAAATTCAGCCAGAGATCTTTCTTTCATCACTTTCATTTCCTTCTTTATAGTACTCGTCAGCCAGCTCTGCACCATATCCAATGCCATTTCCGCTCTTTTTTTTAATTTTTGGAAGGGGATGGTTCCTGTTTTTCAGCAGTCGCTAAGATTGCCAGTCCATAGTAACCAACTCGCTTTCCGTTTTTAAATTTCTGCATGACATTCTTAAACTTCAAAAGAAAAACGCCTAGATATACAAAAAAAGATTCTCTTCTGYCTTCCTCCGTTGAGCAGCTGAAAGTTAAAAAGCTGAAAGTTAAAAAGTGTCCTTAGAGACATCCTGCATTGAAAATTCAATTTCCCTCAGGCAAGTATCTGACCACCTATTGAAATCCTTAATCTGAAATAGGAAAGACTAAATTTTGAGCTTATAAGTTCATCAAGCAAAGATTTTCTTTGTATGTACCTTTGAGCATTCTGCAAATGAGACAAGTGGAGCCCTCCCATACAATTAAGCCCACAGTCCCCTCCCTGTCCTATTTTTAGTATACAGACGATAAACAAATGAATAATATCATATAGTAACCGTTACTTTGTTATGGTATTGTTATTACCCACCATACCTTCACCTCTAAAATGTAAAAATTTAGGTGCCATAAATAATCACCACAATAATCCTAAACCATGAAACCGCGGTTGTTCATACCTCCTGACAAGAGCATTTTTACTTCACAAAGACTGCAAATTTGCTTTGCAAGATTTATTAGCAAAGTTTAACCCGGGAGTTTATTTATCACATTTGTTAAATCGCGTTTGSCATCGATCAAAATTGGTTTGAGGCATTTCAAATTTGCTAACAACAATATAGACCTTTTGTGTTGAAAGCACCAGAAATTGAGCTGAAAATAAAATATTTAGATTAGTAACATCAAAACAAGCTATCCACCAACAAGCATATGGATATCTAGAGGAGCATAATCACATAACGAGTAAACAATTTGGATTTAGACCAAGGCTTTTTACCTTGACTGCACTTACAGACTTTTCTAATTCAATTCTGCAGAACCTGGATAAAGGAAAAATGAATGGGGCCGTATCCTTGGATCTATCCAAGGCCATCGATACGGTGGACCATTCACTACTATTGGACAAATTAAAATATCTTTAAATGGGCACTCTAAACTCTCACTTTAAATGGTTTGAATCTTATCTTGTGAACCGTCAAATGKCAACTTCTGTCGGTAGCRCTCTATCTCCCCTACGCCTCAGAGAAGTACTTTAGGGCCCCTTCTCTTTATCATATATGTCAACGGGCTCCCCACATGCTTGAAGCATTGTGAAGTTGCTATTTATGCAGACGACACCGTTTTCTATTACAGTGGTCTCTCGGCTCAAGAAATCATGGATGCCCTAAACTCGGATCTACAAGAACTTTCTTGGTTCAAGTCAAATCTTCTGACTTTGAATGCGTCAAAGTCCAAATTTGTACTTTTTGGGAGTAATCGCTCTCCAAAATATAGGAACATGCAGAGTTATCTATTGTGATAGGTGCTAATAATTTAGAACGTGTTGAGTCTTTTAAGTACTTAGGAGTAACAATCCACCAAAACATGTCTTGGTCGGAACACATAGATAATATTTCAAAGAAAATAAATCAGGGATTAAGTATTTTACGCCGTGTTACAGCCAAACCTACTGAAGCGTTCCTATCGAGGTTGGAAGGCTCGATTTATTATTCCAAATTTGGYTCCAAATTTATATTTAAACGTGCAAAAACAATATTATTCCAATAATAAAACGAAGTGCATGTTGGGTAAAGTGCAGGAATGATGTTCACTCGTTCGCGGCAGTGCATTCCAAAAGTTGTTTCACGATGTCGATGATACAAGGATGGTTTCTGATGCTTCCAAACCTCTTGTCCTCCAGAATATCATATGTCAAAACAAAAGGCTGCTTACAGCTTTGTCCTAACGGATTGACAGAGTCATACGGACGATAATGTTCGATGACGTTTGTTACGCACCGAAAAGTTACGCGAAGCCGTTCAGAAACTTCCGTTTTTGTGAGTCCGCCGTTAAATAATTGTATAATATGTTGTCTTTCAGCAATCGATAAAGGTTTTCCTGGGGTTTACGGCCTCTGAAGACTATTCACCGCCGCCATTTTTTTTGAAATATGCAACGTACTGTTTATTTTTGGAATAATCCAATCAGGAATAGAGGTTCAAATCGACGTCAGATTTGAAATTTACATTGTCGGTTTTGTTTTTGCACGTTTAAATGTAAATTTGAAACCAAATTTGGAATAATAAATCGARCCTTCTAACCTCGATAGGAACGCTTCAGTAGGTTTGGCTGTAAGTATCTTTTACCTATGAGTGCAAGAATAACTTTTGTAATTGTCTAGTTGTTCCTCTATTTGACTATGCTGACATCATTTGGGGTGATAAAAACAATATAACTATTATGAACCAACTTCAAGTCCTGCAGAATCGTGCATCAAAATTAATTCTAGATGGACCTAAATATAGTTCCGTTAGTGAAGCATTACAGCTTTTACAAATCGAGTCTAGCTACCCAAAGAAAAAAAACATCGCCTCATTCATATGTACAAAATTGTAAAATTTCCTAAGGTCAAAACGAACTGGGGCAAACAAATTGTCTTTTACCATGSGGCGAGAGACTGTCATTTTTAATTTTTTAAATCATTTTTATATATTTATCTTATATTTAAGTTGTAGGGCCCTACTGAAAACTGCCTCGGCGAGTAGGCTCCTTAAATAAATATTATTGTTATTATTAAATAGTACAGAAATAAGAGATGTGGAAAAAAAGAGATGTATTTCTAAATGATTTCAGACACATAAAGCTGTAATTAGTGTGTTTATACTTAATTCTTACCTAAAAATGCTGCAAACCAAGAAGAAGAATACTAAACTTGATGACACTCACTTAAAAACCATTAGCAACGTACCATTAAGGCGGTTGAATGGACAGATCACGCTCTCTATTTCAGACATCATTGATACCCAGCCTTTGTTAGAGGTATATATATCCTAGCATTAAAAAGAACATGAGAGGAGGGTTTCCAGCAATTTATAGCAGGGAGGTGAGGGTTTCCAGCAATTTATTGTCCAGAAATAAATTGACAGCTAGGAAAGGTATACGTGTGACCGAATTAGCCAGGTAAAAAGGTTATGGTTTTTGTGGTCACTCTGTCCTTTAGGACAAAGTATCCACTTTGTTATCGCCCGATTCAKGGAATGTCTACAAGTCTGTAATACCCGAATACTCGAACACCCGATCACTCGAACAACTGACTCTTTTCCGAGACCTGTTCGACCTTCCGATCACTTTCACAATAACACAGCAGAAAGTAACTATGCACTTTGAACGTCGAAGTGGATTGAAACACAAGTTGGTGAGTATATCTCGTCATTGTTTTATATCGTTATTGCTCTTTATTTGTCACAGCTTCATTCTGTAACATCGTTAGGAATGTAGGGTATTTTCTCAAGTGTTTTTCAGATTTTAAATCGCTTACTATTTCACAACGGACGCTTGATGGTCAACAAAGCCCAACACGAGATATCCATGTGAAACATGAGTAAGCAATCCCTCCTGGGAGTTATTGAGCCGTGCAAGAGGATAATTGAGCTCTTTTGAGGGAATACCAAACCACTACCCCTACAATCAGAATGATTGATTAATCTGAATGTGAAATAATTTATGAGATACCAAAACGAATTCCAGCAGTGAACGGCATGCGTCTTTGCTATGAAAATGTAGCTAGTCTTATAAGACAGAAACACATGAAAGCTGTGACAAATAAAGATCAACATTGTTTTAAAACTATAAATAACCCTCATATCCTCAATGGAGTTTATGTACTGTAAGAAATGTGTGTTGTTAACATGTAAAACCACGTGCTAGGGATAGAGAGCCATCTAGAATTCCTGTACAAAAACTCATATTTCGAATATTAAGAAAAAGAAAACTCAGGAAAAAATTCAAAGCATTTGTGAGGGTGTCAACTACATTGATCTCCATTAGCAAACTAGCAACATTTCAGTGCAAGTTCACTTCCTCTCGGTGTCATCTTATGACAATTGCAATCAACTTTTGATTTTATATCCCATTAAACTTTATATCCCACTTTTCCTTCCTAGATCTAYGTTAACACTGGCAAAGCAGCAACAATGATTCAACAAACAACTACATTTGAGGAATAACTGCCTATACAGTGTGGCATGGCCCKGGTCCATGGCCTACCTATGGGTCACCCTATGGCCTACACTATKGACTACCCATTTTTTCTGTTATTTTGAAATATCTAATGTTTCCAATATAAGAATAGTCATGACACAGTCTCTGATCTATCACAATGAGTGTTGGTGGCCATATTTGAAGTTTAGAGGGAACTATTCGATTTCTTTGATATTTAAGATATTTACAATATTATAGTTAACAATGAAACAGTGTATATGACAATCACATTTTTATTCAAAATCCATTTTTCAAATGTGATAAACAATTAATATGTGTAGAATGTACCTTATAGAATGGACCTTCTGTTATTATACCATTCATAACCTGTTGGTACTTATAGAGTTGAAAGTGGAACACGTAGAAGTATGAACTGGAACGAGTGAAACCTTAAAAATACATGTACATGCAAAAAATTGAAAATGTATATATATTACATACTCTACAGTAGATTGCACATCAAAAGCCGCCCCTGTAAAATGTCGTAAAGCCAACTCTCCTGTAAGTGACCACCTCGGGATCACGAAAAAGTGGTCGCTTACAAGAGATRGTCGCTTATGAGAACGTTAGCACAGGAAACCCGAACAATGATAATCACAACACAGGAGGCCAAAATAGTTCAAAACACGTTCGTTTTTCAGTGAATAAAATCTTTGAAGAATTATACTGCTTCCATGCAATTCCTAAAATTCTTGAAGTTGATTTTATTGTCTAATTCTATTGTTTTCTATGGTATARCTAACACTATACTGTATTTGATACTCAATAGTACGCTTTTACCGTTTGTACTGGAAATATATTTTGTGTGAGCTTTTTAAGTGAATTAAACACACGCCTTTATTGCATCAGTAGTGGGTGGTCGCTTACGGGAGAGGAAAAACAATGAAAAATTCTATAATTTCAATCCCAAAGGTAGTCGTGGTCGGCTACAAGAGTGGTCGCCTGTGAGAGAGTTGTTTTTACAGAGTTTATATGGGAGACAAAACAGGAAATTTAAAATGTGGTCGCTTACGAGAGTGGGCGTTCAAAGAGAGTTCTATCTCATAAACCGTAACCTTCGGACTGCCATGAAGAATGAACAAAGCCTATCGGGAGTGACGTCATAGATCATTGAACCTAGACTGTCGAAGGGAGTAGACGTCTCGAACTCGGTTCTGACTATTTTCCCTGTTTTAAGGTAAGTTTTACTTTTCTTTTCAGGTTTAAATGAAAGATATGGGTGAAGTGTACTCCGCTGGAGGCACATTATGTAAAATGTTACAAAAAATTCACCCGAATGACCTCGCAGAGGCATTCACAGAGAACCACGTGGCGCCGCCATGTTGAATTTACGAGTGCATGTATTGATATTTATTTGGTTCTCTGATAGATTATGAGCGACCAAGAGGATGTTAATCCCTCAGCAGGGACTGAGGAAGATGTTAATCGAGCTATCCTCTCGAATATTAAACTTCTAAATGAAAATATGGCGCATTTGAGCGACTACATGACTGGTCGCGAAGAGGAACCTTACGAGGAACCTTATTACGAAGAGAGCGAATCCATTGATGATTACTCTTCGGTCGTCTCTATCCAAAATGATTTGGACAAAATATCAAAGGCTAACAACGCTGAGGACATTGGAGAGGCGGCGAAAGAGAATGTTTTAGCCAGTTATTCAAGTCAGTTGGACTTGGATATTGAACACAAGGCACCGAAGGTTGGTGACGACATTGCTAATGTAGTAAACAAGCTTTGTTTACATAGAATAAGTGCAGAGCAGTGCAAGGCAATAATCAAACGTCATCATACACCAGAAAATGTGAAAGTTCGCTTACCCAAATGTGAGAACAGTATTTGGACTCAATTACCAACTCACACTAGAGCAAATGATGCAAAGTTACAAGCAACACAACAGATGCTTCTTGCCACGATTAATTGTCAATTAGAAGTAACAAACAAGTTGGTTGATTCCAAAGCCTCAAAGGATTTATTGACTCCCGCTTTGGATGGGCTAACATTGGCTATGACTGCCAACTATGAGATAAACCAGCGTCGTAGAGATGCAATCAAGCCACAGTTTAAGACAGAATTTGCCAAGGGACTATGTTCCTCTACTAACCCTGCTGATGAATTCCTCTTTGGAGGAGATACAACAAAGCGTGTCAAGGAGATTGCTGAGTTACAGAAAAGCAAAGTTTGCAAAGGCCAGCCTGGGAGAGCAGCTTTTCGTGGCCGAAATCGATATGTACCATACTCGAGA